CTACGTTTGTTGGTGCACTGGGGGAGTCCAATACTCTGACATTAACGAATGCTGATTTAAGGCCATTGCAGTTCTCAGCAGTCAACACATATTTTCCTGTGTCATTTCTATTGACATTCTCAATCACTAACTCTGTGTAGGAGCTTTTTACCTCAATTTGAGCGTGTTCACTGAGAGGGCCACCATCCTTTGACCATTTAACTTCAGGCTCTGGCCTGCCTCTGATGGTGACAAGGAGTCTTAATGTGGAACAGGCTCGAACACCGACAATCTTCCTCAAGGTTGCATCCAACTCGATCTCAGGTGCCTCCGGTTTTTCAGCAGCTACCACTGACTGAGGTAGATCCACATGCTCTCCAACACCAGCAACATTCATCGCACGTATACGAAAATTGTACTCTGCATTTTCTCTTAGTCTCTCCACTGTGTAGTTTGTGTCCTTTACACCTGTGCTCGGAGTACATGCAATCCACTCATCTTCTGATGCTTCTTTCATCTCAACGACAAAGCCACTGGTGGCTGCTCCACCATCATAGATAGGCCTTGACCAGGTCAGAGACACAGTACTGCAGGAATAGTCTATCACTTTTGGGTTGGTAGGGGGTCCAGGTGGGTAAGTTGCTTCACATACTTTAATGTACTCACTTTGCTCACTGGGTGCACCAACACCAGCAGCATTCTCTGCAAATACTCTAAACTGATAGTAATGTCCCTCAGCCAGCGCTGTGCATCGAAAACGCAACTCATTTAGTCGTCTCTTGTTGCATTTGGTCCATCTGACTCCCTCTTTGTCACATTTCTCCAAGATGTAGCCCTCAATTTCTGAGCCTCCATCATTCTCAGGCCTTTCCCATGAGAGCACTATGGAGTCACCAGTCACAGTGCTGGCTGAAGGGGTAGAAGGTGCGCTGGGTGTTGTAAATGGATTTTGTGCAATGAAGGGTTCTGATTCCAGAAATTCACCAACACCGAACTTATTCACAGCAGCAATTCTTAATATATACTCTTTACCAGGCACCAGTTTTGTCACTTTGTAACTGACAGCTTCAACGTGATGCTCAACCCCTGTCCAAGTAACACGGTTGGTCTCCCTTTTTTCAATGATGTAGTGGGAAACAGTGGCACCACCATCATTTAAAGGGGGGTTCCAGTGAAGATTACACTTCTCTGCACTGACAACTTTCACCTTCAGTGGTCCGTCTGGAGGACCAGATCTATCCAGGACCTTGACAACAACGCGGGTAGATGTAGTTCCACCCATGTTTCTGAGGCTCAAGACAAACTGTCCCCCGTCCACTCGTGCACAATTCCTGACGGTCAAAGTTGTGTGAGTGAGGGTGTTTTTTACCTCCATTCTCTTTGTAGCTTTGTCAATTTCTTTTCCATCCTTGAGCCAACTTACTTCAGGGAGGGGCTTTCCAAAGTAATCAGCATCAATAACAAATGTCTCACCAGCCTGAACAACAGTAGTACTCTTGAACTTGGGATCCAAAAGCACTGTGGGTCCTTCAATAACATCCTGAGCGATGATGTTTACATTTTCTGAAGGTGTGCTCCAAACACCAGCACCATTCTTAGCAGTCACTCTAAACTCATAACTTTGACCTCCTGTCAGACCTGTGACTGTGAACTGATTCTCAATAACACTGGTGTAGTTTGCCTTCATCCATCTGCCATCTGGTAGCTCCCTCTTTTCAACAACATAGCCTGTAATTGCGCTTCCACCGTCAAACTTCGGTTTTTCCCACTGAAGTGTGATGTTCTCTCTTGTTATGACAACAGCTTCAGGTTTACCAGGTGGATCACACGGATCTCTTGCCACATAGCATTCAGATATTTTACTAGATGGGCTAAGTCCAGCAATATTCTCCGCAAAGACCCTAAATTCATACTCAATGCCTTCCTCCAGTCCATTTGTTTTGAAGCGAGCATCAGGTATAACAAGTTTGTTCAGCTTGGTCCATAAAATGCTGTTCTTCTCTTTGCGTTCAAGGTGATAGCCGATGAGTGGGCTGCCTCCATCTTTGGCTGGAGGCTCCCATTCAACCACCATGCTGTACTTTGCCACTGTGGACACAAAGGGGGTGGCAGGCTCAGTGGGCACACTAAAAGGATACTGTGCCATTACAATAGGAGAGGTGATTGCAGTGCTCTTTCCATATCTATTTTCTGCAAACACTCTGAATTGGTATTCATTTCCTGTCTTCAGTTTTGTTACTTTGATTGTGGTTCTTACTGTTGTTGCTGACACAGTCTGCCATTCTGTACTTAGAGTGTCACGTTTCTCTACTACATAGTTGTCTAGCTGACAACCTCCTGTGTACTCTGGTGGCTCCCAGGAGATGACAATGTAGTCAGAACTGATCTCATCAATTCTCAAAGGCCCTGTAGGTGGATCTGGCTTTTCTAGAACAACCACAGTGATTTCTCCTGTACATTTTCCAGCACTGTTGTTTGCAATGATAGAGTATTGACCAAAGTGCTCCCTGGCAGCATGTCTGATATGAAGAACTGTTAATGATGATATATTCGTAACCTCTAGTCTTGATGTCTCCTTGACGGCCTGACCATCTCTTTTCCATTCAATTTTTGGAGCAGGGTGCCCAACCACTGGGATCTCTACCTTCAGATCTTGACCATTCTTGACAGTAAATGTGCTATATGTTATCTGGAGGTTTGGCTTAATGGCATTTTCCTTATCTGTGTCAGGGCCAGTCTGGACATCGGGATTGTTTTCTCCACTCTCGTCAGAAGTGGCCCCATGACCTGGTGTAAGAGGATAAAAGCGTGAAATTATTACATTAATTGGGATTACTTTGCGGAGTCTGGCTGATTTTACAAAATGAATATTTTGCTTGATAAACCAAATACGTATTTCAATTAAATTAATTTGAATAAAAACGTTTATCAGATCAGTGAACACATGTTAAAGGATGGAAAACATTTCAGAACTTTGAAATGTGACGCGTTCAAAACATTGCGAGATATTAAGCCACAAAAACATATAAGTACGTGTTTGAACTAAGATTGTGTTGTTACGCTTTAAATTAGTCTCGTATTTGTTTCACAATATGGTTTATTGCATATATATCTATAATTGTGATTAATTTAAACATGATTAAATTGAAAATTGGGAGAAGAGAAGTATTAATAGTCACTATCTAGGGAATATGCGGCGTATTAATGGATTAATTACAGATTGGATTAATGCAGTACATACCTTGGACAATGACTGTTAGGGGTGACTGTGAATCATCTTGTGTGTGCCCTCCATCAGCATTTGGTGTCATATTTATATTTAGATTGGGAGCTTTATCTTCTGTGTTCTTTTCAACCTACAAAAGACAGTGGTACAAAACTGTCAGAGAAAATGAAATGAAAGACCAGCTAAAACAATCAGGGCAAAAATAACAAACGAGCATTAGGCTATCATAGTGAGAGTGATGTTTTGGTAACAGAAACTGTTGATGGTGTTAAAAATAACTAGAAGCATGGCGGACCAGACTGCCATCTGTTCCTCTAAACAGATACAACTCTATTATTGTCCAACTCTTGAAGCTCTAAAAAGGTTAAAGCCATTTCAACGTAGAAAAGAAACCCCATAATCAATATTTCAAATAATTAATCAAAGTGTAATTTGTTAACTGCCCACAACTATTTTTGTAGCTGTCGATGTTTAAATAACTTTTGAGAAATCATAGCAGTTTTACATATAGGCTACTAAACAGGCATCAAATACAACTGTACCTACTTTGTTGTTGCTGTCTTCCATAGTTTTTCACAGCTAGTTCAGTAGGTAGTTTAGATGAGACGCACCATCTGTGATGAGCCCCAAAACTCTGTGGTACACATTCACAACTCTGCCAATCACTGCCTGCTTTATCTCCTAAAGCATGCAGAGACAAAAATAACCGTGATGGCTCATTGGCCAGCTGCTCATTCTTTCAGAGTGAGTTGAGCCTCCACGGATCAACAAGGAAAAACTGGACAGTTGCTCAGCAGTAAAATATTGCTCACATTCTTTTTCAATACAATACGGCTTATCGTTTGGATATCCTCTGAACAGCTTTATGTGTGTGATTATTGGGGGTGGGGTGGGTTGTATGTGAGCACTTATTAGGGGGAACAAGATTATTTTGAAACAAATAGTAAGGAGGAATTTCATTTTATGCCCAATTAGTAGAGGCAAATATTGTACTTTGTACTTGGCTTTACCTCACATACATAACATTAGGCAAATATTTATATCTAAATGCATCAATAATAATATTCCAGTATATAATCGACTCCACTTCGAACGATAGAATTACTAACAAATAATTGCTAACAAAGCACTTATATACTAATAAAGGACTGGCTTATCTAAAGTTGAGCACTTGAAATGTTTTAGCTCTATGAAACCTGATGTACTTAGGCCTATATGATCCTGTTTTCTTCAAGTTTGTATCTTGGTCGAATGCACTTATTGTAAGTCGCTTTGGATAAAAGCGTCAGCTAAATGCAATGTAATGTAATGTAATAATGTGTTAACTCTGAAAGCAAATTATTTTACCTTTGATGCTTTGATTACATTTTGTTGATGACAATTCTGTAAGTGAATGCAGGACTTTTCGTTTGAGTCTGCTTATTGTGACCACAAACAAATATTGAAATAATGTAGGCTAGCCTAAATTATTTGAATATTTGTTTCACTACTAGGTGAATTTTAGATGTATCATGTGCTTATATTTAGTATAGTTTTCGTGTAATACGCAGCGATCTGTTTTTGGAAATATGTATCGGATGTAACGTTGTTTTTTTTGTCAAGTTGTCCTCCTTTCAACTTAAAACCGGTAGGCTGCTATAACTGCTATCATTACCGTATTAAAATGTAAATGTAAAACATATTAAACTCAATTATTTATTCAACCTGATGTCGAAATTGATGTACACAAGTATTAAAGGGGTAACAAATATTTTCCAAATAAAAACTTTTATAGAAACATTTATTGTGAAAAATTGAACCGGAAATTCACGAATAAACACCACAGAAGAAGAACACGTGCAGGTAAGGAAGCGAATACATTCATTCATATCATAGACACATGTACGATTAAATGTCTTTGGACCCATTAGTATACAAATTATCACTCAAAGGTATATAAAAAAGCTTTAAACAGGTCGAACTGCAAAAAAACTACGATCCAGCGGACTTTCAGCAGCCAGGCCGGTCACAGCCGAACCCTCGCTCCTCCACAGTGTGTCACTTAGGGACCATCTATATAGTATAGATGGTCCCTAAGGGGTCGGCAACAGGCGGACCGCGGTCTGGATCTGGACCCAGACGCCAACCGGACCCGGACCTAAAGTCAATACATTAATAGGGGAATTCAATTTTGACGGGGCGATTCTATTTTAACCGCTGCCGACAGGGAGCGAAAGAGACGAGTGAGCGATACAGGGAGAGAAACACAGAAGAAGAGATGAGAGAACGAGAAGCATGGATGTATAATAAGGAGAAAAGCGGTGAATATAGTGAGTTTAGAGAATAATTAGCGATACAGGGAGAGAAGCGGAGAGGAGAGTGAACAGGCGTGTTAGTGATAGACAGGGAGAGACACATAATTACACATGGCGCTCTCCAAGAAGAGGAAAGTGGACAGAGCTTTTAACCCTGAGTGGACAGACTCATTCATGTTCATCCTGCCCACTGGGAGCACAGAACCAGTGTGTCTCATTTGTTCAGAGACCGTGGCGCTCATTAAAAGTGCCAAAACGCCACCATGAGACAAAACACAAATTGTTTGATCAAACATTCCCTCTCAAGTCAGAACTGAGGTCACAAAAAATAAGCAGTCTCAGAGCCCAATATGATCAGTCGACCAGGATCAAAATAAAACTAAATATCGTTCCTGCGCAGGCTAACCGAGGCTAACCAATGAGCACCTGCATGTGTATATGAGAATGGCCCTGACACAATTTCAGCCCAGATTTACAAACTCCTGGAAGGATAAGCTCAAGCTCGCACTGAATATAAAAAAAGTGAGTGAGGGACTGCAATATAAGAGGGAAAGAAAGAGAAACTTTAAAACTGTTGAATTGTTATGATGTGTAAAGACTGATATTGTTCTATAATCGTCTGAAACAGTTAAGTCATGATGTGAAACGGTTAACAAAGAAAAAGGGAAACTCAAGCTGCTGCTACACTTTATTTTATTTATCTAAAATTAAGTACTTTTAAGATGCACATATTTTCAAAAGCTATTTTATTTATTTTCTCCTATTTTATTTTTAAATGCAGCCAGAGAGGAACATTACACATATCCACAGTATTTTACTGTATATCTGTATAGTTCAATGTTAATTGACAATAAATAGTTGGTTTTGAATTGTACTTTCTTTATTTGATTGGCAGTCAGTTGTTGATTACATGCAGACGTTGATGAAGCTCTATATATCACACTAATTCATAAAGCAAGTTAGACATTTTGATGTTCCGGACCTTTGCATGAGGAGATTTTCTCTAACTGGACCTTGTTGAATTTTAGTTGAATACGAGTTACACCAAACCAGTGTGCTATCCTCAATACCTTTGTGCTAATTTGGCCATTGGCTATACGTGGAAATTATACTTGATGATTAATGTGTCATTGCAAACGTTTTGCTTACGTATGTGTTATGAATTGATTTACCAAAAATAGATTGTTTCCAAATCCATACCATATAGTTTAACTACAATGCAGTATGATAGTGCTACTCTATGCAGAGTGATTGATAATCATAACTCGCTGCTATGATCACAAGCTGGCTATCACCTGGCTCTATGTCTGACTACAACAGAATGATACATTAACATACCATAGTGAACCTTATTGTCAAATGTAACGCCTCTCTGCCTCACTATTCCCCTGCAGATCTAACCATGACGCTCCAGTTTGTGTATAACGGCCAGGACTTTGTCACAGAGGCCCAGCGGAGCAGTGGAAATGGACTTGCACCAGAGCCATCACATTTTGACCAGACCATCCAAGCCGGCTGGTCAGACAGGATGAACAGGGGGCTCTTCCGCTACCATCTGGATGACTTACAAACGCGTATCATGCCGGGCCCGCATGGCTATGTGGCCCAGCTGAATATTCAAAGAGGATTACAAAGAAGAAAGCCTGAGGAAATACTGAGCATTAAGCAGGAGTTCAATGCCAATCAGTTTAATTTTAACAAAATCGATCCAGAAGAAGTCATATTTGAGATGACAAAGGTTGTTGAGGGAAGAAAGGAAACGGGACAGTTGCATGAACGTTGGAGAGTGGTCGTGCTGGTCAATGTCAGCCCTTTGGAGTTTGGACATTGTCTCTTTGTTCAAGAACCTTCATGCTGTTTACCGCAGGTCCTGACAAGCTTCTCCATCCAGGTTGGTATTGAATCTGTGCTCCTGAGCTCCGATCCTGGCTTCCGTGTGGGGTTCAATAGTCTTGGAGCATTTGCCTCTGTCAATCATTTACACCTACATGGGTACTACCTGCACCATGAGCTCCAGATAGAATCTGTGCCTGTCAAGCCGCTAGTTCCTGAAAAGGGATTTTATCGCTTGTTGGACTCTCCTGCAGGCTTTTTGTTTTACACAGAATCAGAGTGTGTGGTGAAAGTTGCCAGAGCCATTTATCAGGTCACAGACTTTCTTGTGGAAAGTAATACTGCGCACAACCTGTTCTTGACTCGCGGGAGTCCGCCCTCTGATCAGATACAGGATGAAAAGGATCACTGCTCAAGAAAAGGTGTTCGCATCGCTGTATGGCCCAGAACATCGTGCTTCGGTGCAAAGGACGAGTCTGCCTTCAATGTTGCTCTCTGTGAGCTGGCAGGGCATTTACCATTCAAGAACAAGAAGGACTATGAGCTCTCTACTGAGAAAGATGTCAAGGATGTCATAGAGAGGTATCTTCTGCCTGAAGCAGAGTTTCACAAGTTAGAACAGCACCTCACTCGCCATCTGACGGATTTATAATGCATGAACATTAAATGATGAGCACATATTCCTCAGATGTCCTGACATGTGTTTAGGTTTTGTGGTGAAATGTTTCTTTGGAAACGATGCAAAATCTCCTTTCCTGCATTTGTCCCATGCACAAAAGACCTTCTTACACAATTATATTATCAGTAAGAGAATATTAAATTGAGTAATTGATGTGTTGTCTTAAAACTTCAAATAAAATTCAGAAAGCATTTTATCTTAAAATGTAAAATTCGTTTTTTAGTATTTATTGTTGGGTTTTGGCTTGTCAAAATAGAAAGACAGGTGCTGTTCATTAATTAAATAAAAGGAATATGGAGGTACATCTTTTTGAAGCATTGGCTGAGATATCAGTATAAATCAGTGGTCATTCAAGGAAAACACCAAGAATATAATGAGGTTGAGGATTGATGATACATATTCATTAAATAGTATTTTTTTAGGAAACAGTGTGATGCTTGAAGGATCTTCTATTGTAGCAGAGGGAAACAGTCAAGTGTGTTTATTCAACAGAAGAGTTGTGAAAACTAAGTCACTGACGCTGACAAGTGTTTTTAATATTGAGCAAGAGTTATTTGACTGAAAGAGAGAAGCTTCTTTTATTTCTGGTTACACCTTAATATATTTATTTGTACAATATGTGTTCCTCTTTATTTGCAAATGTGCAATATCCGGAAACTTTATAACTTCAAGATATACAGTTCATGTTATTCTTACTTATTGCTGTTTGGTATGTGTGAAACCTTTAGGACTGCCACTTAATTGAATTGTGCTTTCTGCAATGACGGTAATGGAGTTTTATTCTCTTCTCAAATCTCAATTGTTACTGAGATAAGTAACAACCTCACTTTTCCTGCTATGACCAGGGAAGAGGACTGCTGCCTATAAACCAGGCCTGTTAAGACTGCATCACATTATTCACTGCATCTGCCTCATGGGAATTCAGTGGTAGCTCCTGTTGTGATGTGTTAGTGTAGTAGTCACCACCTTTCTTAACTATTTATAGTAACTTCCTGCTTCACACATTTTCAGTATGTCTCAGTAGCCCAAAGGTTAGATAAGTGAAGCTGTCATGGATTGTGATCACTTGGTTTACAGGATAACTATGAGCAGGGAAATAAAAGATTAAAAAAGCCTTAGTCTGACATAGCTTAAACATGCTACACAGATGTATACAGCTTTATATGTTTAACCTACAGGCAACAGTTAACCACACATTTTTCCTTTATTCTAAAGAATATCAAAGTTACAAAAGCTGCTTCAAAAAGCCAGGAGTTTCAGGATCAAGAAGGATCAATGCTGCACTTCATCCCTGAAGAGAACATCATCTGCCAGGATAACAGCACCAAGGTAACAGTGCTAAACCGAGCAGTAAGATCAATGAGCATGGATAAGTGCTCGTTCGTTTTAATGAGGTTATCCGTTGGTGAGCACACAACCACTGCATTGATCTATAGGTTTAGCTGCTGACACGCTCATTTTTTCCTCGTGAAGTAATTTTTACTGACATGAGGAACCAAACATATACCGTGACCAGGAAATCTGACCGAACATTTTGAACATAGCAAGCAACAAAAGCATAGCAAGCAACAAAAGCTGAAACTATTCAGGACTATATCAATGTTTGTTTAGCAAAGAATAGATTATTATAACGTTGGTTGTGTCTTCACACTTATGAATTTATCATGCAAAAATAGGGAGAAATAACTGTTATGTCAAAAAGGGTATAACATTTCCTAATATTAAAAGCCTATTTAAAACATTGTGGATATGTTTTCAGCAAATGTGCTATTATGTATGTCTTCGATTAGAAAACATGATTCTCTAACCATTTGTAATGGCCTTAATGACAGTGTTCAACACATTACCTGTGAAATAATTTATCTGTACAATTAACATTGCTTTTTCTATTGCTGGTTAAAGCCAGTTTTCTCTGTCATCACAGTTTCTCGAGGCCATAGGAGGAAAGCAAGCACATGACATTTAGGAGCTGCTGGGTTCTCCTAAATCCAGCGAATTTGACCTTTCTTACATAATAGCCAGGACCGGACAGGTAGGTTCGGATGATGTTTATTTACATTAGGGCGTCCTTGTGTGTACTTTCACCTTAGTAAGTCACAATTTGACAAAGGGTGGCTGAGAAAGGGACAAAAGCATCAAACAGATTGGAAATGTTCAAAGCAACTACCTGCCTACCTTTTAGACGCACTTTACATGTTACAATTAAGAAAAACACAACACTAGATGCCTGGCAATGGCTCCTAGCAAAGAAATATTCCAGCTCATAATCCCAATTTTTTTTTTACTCTTTAGCAAATATTAAACATACAAGATATAAAGTGTTTATTAAAGGTGGGGTATGTAATTTATTTCAGAAACACTTTTTGTATAAAAATTGAATTGAATTTGATTTTGAGCGCTAGAATTTGAAAATACACAAAAAAAAATCTGCCACTTCATTACAGAGGAACACACAGGAAAGGGCACATGACCAATGAGGGCACGAGATAAATTTGTGCACAGATGGAAGGCTGACAGGCAGGTAGGCCATCCAGTTCTCATTCATAACATTCGTTTCGATGTCTCACTATGGGATGTGCCTCCCATAGTGAGACATCTCACTCATGTTACTCTGAGAACCGGGGTTACGCTAGTATACCTATAGTTATTTTAGCCGGGCCGGCTAAAATGATTGGTCGTGCTTTTTACAGTACTACGGCTTCCAAAGATGATGTTTTTTTATGGATTTTTTGTCAAAGCACTTAAGATATTCATTGCTATCGGGATGTAAGAGCATTCCATGGAATATAACAAAAAGTGTCGGTTTCTCAAACTTATCTTCCCCACCTTTAACATCCCGATAGCAATGAATATATTAAATGCTTTGACAATAGAGTGGCGAAGTCACGCCCATCTACTTCCGGTCCATGGGACCTTATTTCTGAAAAATTATGCACTGAAGTCAATGGAGAGAGAGAACTTATCTTTCGATCCCGTTTGAATTGTGCCACGAATTACACATATGATGTTTGTCAATCTTAAAAAAATCATTTCCATGTCAAAAAAGTCACAGTTTGTCTTAAGACTGAAAAATACGCAACTAGAAAGACTACAAATCCCAGAGTCGCATAAGTGATGTCATAACTGATGTCACAATTGTTTTCCTCTGCTAAATATAAGAGATGGCTAAAATAAGATAACTTTAACAAGAGGCCTGTGTGCTTAGTACCAGGTTGTTATCATACCAGCAATGGGTCAATATTGCTCGTTCTTTCGCTTCCCGTCTGATGAAAGGACCAGGAGTGCCTGGCTGGATCAAGTTAGCTACCTAACTAGTAGCAAGCACGTTAGTTAGCATTACAGTCGTAGCCTTTTCATTTTTCTCTCTGAACTACCTGATCTTTTTAATGTTTAATGTCAACCATTTGTGCAGATAGCATGAAGTAGAACAGATCGCCGATGCTAATGTAGCGTTAGCATTTCTCCCCGGGCTTAAATGGTGTATTATAGAATGATCACACCGGTGTGACAGTACTCTTCAAAGGGTTCACGAAATATGACTACTACTCTTACTGTTTAACATTTTGGGTTACTTCATGTTACTTCATGTTAAGGCTAGTACAAATGACAAGGCTAAGCCGGCTGTAATGCTAACTAACGTGCTTGCTACTAGCTAGGTAGCTAACTTGATCCAGCCACTCCTGGTCCTTTAATCAGACGGAAAGCGAAAGAAAGAACAAGACCCATTGCTGGTATGATTACAACCTGGTATTAAGCATACAGGCATCTTGTTAAAGTTATCTTATCTTAGCCATCTCTATTTTAGTGGAGGAAAACAATTGTGACATCAGTTATGAGTGACTTATCACTTACGCGACTCCGGTATTGGTAGTCTTTCTAGTTTTGTATTTTTCATAGTCTTATATTTCAACAGATTTACGACAAACTGTGACTTTTTTGACATGGAAATTATTTTTTAAGATTGACAAACATCATATGTGTAATTCATGGCACAATTCAAACGGGATCGAAAGATACGTTTCCTCTCCCCATTGACTTCAATACATAATTTTTCCGAAATAAGGTCCCATGGACCGGAAGTAGATGGGCGNGAATCTGTATCCGCTCGTTGTACACCCGTTTTTAAAAGATTTGGGTACGGAGGAAAAGAGAGAGGGTTTTATTTTCTGACGCTGCGTGAGTTCCCCGACGCACAGGGGACATATTTATGTATATAAAAGACATCACAAAGCGCATTTTGCATGATAGGTCCCCTTTAAGTTCTAAACATTTTTATATGTGCTAAATGTCAAATACTTTCCCCTTTCATTCATTTAAATGAGCCAAGATGAATGCAGGAGATTGCCAAAAGATCCAGGAAACATCCAAGGAAGATTCAGGTAAGATCTAGGAAATATCCAATTATAGATCAAGGTAGGATTGAGGAAATATTCAGGTAAGATCTAGAGAAGATCCAGGAAACATCGAGGAAACATCCAGGGACGATCTAGGGAAGATCTAGAGAAGATCCAGGAAACATCAAGGAAGATTCAGGTAAGATCTAGGAAATATCCAAGTATAGATCAAGTTAGGATTGAGGAAACATTCAGGTAAGATTTAGAGAAGATCCAGGAAACATCAAGGAAACATCCAGGGACGATCTAGGGAAGATCTAGAGAAGATCCAGGAAACATCAAGGAAACATCAAGGAAACATCAAGGAAACATCCAGGGACGATCTAGGGAAGATCTAGATAAGATCCAGGAAACATCAAGGAAACATCAAGAAAACATCCAGGGACGATCCAAGTAAGATCAAGGTAGGATTGAGGAAACATTCAGGTAAGATCTAGGGAAGATCCAGGAAACATCAAGGGAAGATCCAGAACAAATTTCACGGTAGATTCAGGAAAGATCGCCAACACATCCAGGGAAGATCCAGGAGACATCCAAGGAAGATCTACTGAAGATCCAGGAGAGACCTAGAGAAGATTCAGGAAAGACCTAGAGAAGATTCAGGAAAGATCGCAGAATGATCCAGGGAATATCTCATAGGAATGAATGGGGAACCGCCTTCAATGTTGTTTCCAATTCTCTTCATACACCCAAGGAACCAAACAAGACAGTGCTGGGAGGAGGGGGTGGACATTATCAAAAAATAAGACTTGGAAAAACATTATAGAAAGCCATTTGTAACACTAAGTCTGATCTCACTTATGGGATTG